AAAAAAAATCGTTCGACAAGTGTTATTTCTGATGAATAACCGTAAACTAAATCCGCGTCATCTTTGTCTGAGTCATTAAACTCGCAAGCACATGTCGACGCCATTTTAGACTGACGCGCATGGCGGTATACAGGAAGACTGTGTACGCAAGCGATACTTTTTCTCGTTCCAAAACCCACCTTTTTTGCACTGGGGAGGACTGGAGCTAAGGTCTATTTTGTTCCCTCTCCGAAACGTCTCAGCAATCCAATATAAGGTCATTATAAAGGTTTCCTCAGCTCTAAATTAAGTTATAATATTTTCGACAAAGAAAGTTCAATGTTCTTTTTGTCATTGTTCTGAAAAAGAAGGCGGGAACTTAGACTTTCTAAAAGTCTTTTCCAATAATTCTTCCCTGGCCTGTTCGCTTCGCTCGAGGGAGATAAATAAGTCAAGGATTAAGAAAAGGTCGCCTTGTGGCAAGTCTAGCGGGAACTTAGAACTAAAATTTTCCAGGAAGTAAAATGAGGGGCTATAAAAACAGAGAAAATTGCATTTTATATTAATTTTATAAAGTTGTAAGGGAAAGACAGGAGTTTATGACAATATTTTGTTTAAACTAAGTTGCTACACATTGTTTAACAAATTTGTCCCCATATTGCAATCAAACGACATTTTCCGATTGAGCGCAGTTTCACTTTCTGAACAGAAATCTGTACCAGGTCTGTTTTAATAAAAGATAAGCAGTTCAATTAGCGTGTCTGATTATTTAGTATTTTTCTGATTAAACCTTGGAAACAATCGGTGAATGTAATTATTTACCAAAGGAACAATCTGATTTGAAGATGTACATATTCATTGCAATTTTAAGCAACCAGCTGAAATATAAGTCGTATCATGTCTGTCTAATAACAAAGAAAAACGGAAGTGGAATTTGACGATTGGAGTTTTTGTTTGGTAGATATTTAAAAGAAAAAGAACTATATTCCGATTCGTTGGTAGATAACAGAACAAAGTATATTTAGAGCAAGCAATTACGGGGCTCATTACTGTCAGCAAATCCCATTATGACAGCTGTTATAGTGAACATAAGTGCTCCTTTTATGTTCGCCGAACATAAAGAAGCGAAGCGATGTCCGAAAATTGGAGAAAATGTAATTCAGTCAACTTTACACAGACTGGTCAAAGAGAGTAAATTAGAGAGAATTCTTATCTACTGTGGGCATAAAAAGCCCTTGAATTTTATCTCGTCATCGGTGGCCAGACAAATCCACTTTAAGCTTAATTAATCAACCTCACTTCGTTTAGAGTTTTTTTTGTAAGCAAAAGACAATAATTTCACCACGGCTTTTAAAGTTTGTGCTGCTAATTAGTACATTTCTGGCCAATTGATTTCATAGATATATTAATTAAAAGTAATTCTTTATCCAACAATAAAACCAGAAACATGTAAAGAAGGGATCGGTCTTGTAAAACCATTTTCCAGTATGTAATAAGGCGATATTTGACCGCCAGATAGGTCTAAGTGGAAATTACCCGAAGAACCCTAAGCATAGCAGTTCCAAATGTGACTTTTCGTTTCGTAAAACTATCAGGAAAAAAAGCTCTCCTGAATTATATCGATGGAATATAGGTTTAGCTTGGAATATTTACGTAAACGCTGGACATTTTAAATCATAATTTCTCCATATCATTTTACCATAGTACTACAAAGACTTTCAATAAGTCTTCGTGATGTAATCATTCCGGCCCACGGAGAGATATAAACAAAAAGCATTCTTGATTTTTGCCCTTAAGCAATGCAAAGTTTGTATTTATTAGAGTCAGAATTAGCTACCCAATTGGGTTTAGGATGAAAGAGCCCAAGTTTGGTTACGGCTGAGTCTCACACACAACGTTATATATCACGAATAAATTAAATTGACACTGGATTGAGCGCAATATATAACTTTTCATTCATTTATTCTTTCAACATTTAATAACCTGATTTCTGCTCGCGTTTGACGCGTGTGTTTTTGCACAGTTTTGTCAATGCTTCTCAGTTATTGTTGTGTTTTTGTTTTTTCTTTTCGCAACGCTTTTAACTGTGAATCAATTAATCGGTTTCTGTCTAATTCCTGTTCAAATATAATGAACAGATGAATAGAAAATTGAAGCAACTCACTGGTCTATCTCGTCAAAAAATATTCAAGTCAAATTAATATAAATATTAGACTTGATTTCCCGTATAATTTTACAGAATTGCCTTTAAATTTCACGTCTGTGAGGGGAAACTCACAAGATCCTTTCGGTGAGGAAACACGATGCGTTTTTTATGTGTACTTAACTTTTTTATGGATGCCGAATCCATTATTTTCCTTAGGCAGTTTGTCTACAAACCCTTATTATGACCGCAACACGTGATCCCTACGATCAACATAATGTTGCAAAACAGATGGCTGGTCGAGAGAATTATAAACATGCAAAATGAAGTTGAATGCAAAGTGGCGAAAATCCTGTTGTGGTTTGTTATGAGGACCAAACACGATTGAAAGCTCAAATTTGAGAGGAAAATCATCGTTCGCTGCATATTAAAAGCAATGAACACCAGATCGCAAATACCCAGAGGAAACAAACTATTCCTGCCGAAAATTGAATATGCAAAGCTCTCAGAAGAGAGGTCGTTTCGCGGAGAAAGACCCAACGTTCAGCCAACTCTTGCTGCAGACGAAAAGAGCAATGCGGTGTTTGAGAATGGCGAAAAAATTCCACTGCTGAATCGCGACTACAGCATGGGTTCGTTCACGCGATTTTCAGTGTTGCCACCTATAAAGGACACTGTTAGGAACGGGAGAAGAATGAGTCGATCGCGTAGATACTCGTCTGGTATTTCGTTCGTGTCATCAAACGGGCCAAGTCTTAACCAGGAGGCAAATAAAAAAGGTGACGACGCCAGATTACATAAATACGCCGAATTCTCCAATGTGCTGGTTCAGCAAAGAAGAGATTCGAATGTAGATGGAAAAAATCTTCAAGTTGTTGGTACACCTTATGCGAGAGCAAAACGCGGTGAAACTCGCGAAACGGGTCAACCGCAATTTACAGCGAGACCACCTCAGCGATCGTTCAGTAGCCCGGTCTCGTCCGCGAAATCAAGTTGTAAAGGTTGTCAAACACTTTTGAGAAGACAGCGTTCTAAAACTGAGGGTGAAAAACTTAGCATTGATCCCGAGAACTCGAATATGGATGCTCTGGTCCATACTTGTAACAAAAGGGAAGAATTCCCAGGACAAATTCTGACAAGAATAAACTCGGGCAACATAGATTCACAAAACGACAATCGCCCGCAGGAAAAGTATGATAACAGACAACCATCAGGGCGAAGAAAAGATTCAACTTTAACCTCAAAACAATCAGGAAGTGCCAGTTTATTGACTGCAAGTTTTCCTAATGGGAGACGACCTGTAAGCCGATGCGAGATAAGCGTCGATGTGAACCAACCGCTTACAGCGGAACAACAAACTCCGCTAATGGATCCGCAACAAAATATTTCGCTGGTTTCCTTACGGGTCGAAGCGCCCGAAATAGATTCGACCGAGCAAAGCGACCAAGGGGACAGAACTGCCCTGCCGCCCCAAGGAACACCTCAGATTCAGATTTTAATCGATTCGATCGAAAACGCAAGAGAAGAACTTCCTCAGGCTGGCAGTGAAGTGCCGTATACTTCGCTGAGAGAGAAAAGGAGACGATCTGCTCTTTGCAGAAATAATTCGAAACAAGTGGACGATTTTCTTCTCGTTCATAATCTTCGAGATCTGGGTTTACTCTGAGAGAATTAGCCGAGCTAATCCCCCTAAGCTGATCATACGACTGCAAGTGTTTCATATTTTGGGACTGTCGGTTGCCATGAAACACTTACAAACCGAGAAATAAGACTTGATTAGCCCGGCAAGACAGGTGACATGGAATTTTCATTAAATTTAACTCACGCGTACACAAAATGAAGCAAAAATATTGTATTTTCGAACAAGGAGACCTGATGCGATGCACCCCGCTGGTTTTCGAAGCGATGTATTTTAAAGAGAAACATTTGTTTCCTTTGAAAGCGTGTTCAGAAGATTTATGACTACAATTCATCAAGCGTAGATAAGTGTCCAACTATAAATTATTCATATTATTTAAGTAAACTTTTCACACTATGTTCACTACCTGTGACATCAGCAGAAATGAAAAAATAAGATGTCCGGCTGTTCAAACAGTTGCATACTTAATTTTCATTGAAGACTGAAAATAGTACACCTTCTTGCGTTGCCAGTACTTTTTGTCGTTTTTTTCGAAATTTCTTTTCGCGGCAGGGGAGCAGTAGCCAAGAACCTTTCCCTCTTTCCGATCACTTATGACGTATTTCTCATCAAACTTTCAATTTGAGATGACCATTAGAAAGAGTAACATATGACGTCTTTCATTAGCTCTTAAACTCGCAAAACAACGTTTTGGCTTCAAAAATCCTTACCTTGTCCTCGATACGCCTGAAACATTTCTATTTTAATTTCCTTAGGCCATCATGTTTCATTTTCTTGGTCTTTTTAACCCTTATAAAACTTGTATCTTTAGTTGTATGACGTAAATTAGTCAGTTCGTTAGATCTGTCGATTGCTCAGATGTTAAACTAATATTTCACTTCAAGTAGAGGCAGCTAAGATCTAAGTTTTGTTTAATTATTCACGAGCGTATCATCGAGAACTGCTTTTTTCTAGAGTCCGGACTAACTGGCTAACGAATTTACTAAGTTATCATTCACTGTCCCATATTAAAAGTACTTTATAAAGAGCTCCTTTTATTTACAGAGGATGCGCCGACTTCAATATATAGACGTCTGAAGCTTCCGATCTAAAGCAGAAAGGACAATCATTAATGGCTTTGGTAATATTAGTTGGGAGTTTACGCAAATCGTTTGTCTGTCAAATATTCGGCAAGACTGCTAAATCGTATCGTAAATGAGGAACGTTTACACAAATAACCTGACAAGCTGGTGAATTATCTTATCAGAAAAGGGTCATGCAAAGAAAAAAAACAAAACAAAAAATATTTTAAACATCAACCTAAAAAGTGGAAACAGTTTTCGTTTTGTAGGAGGCACAGGCACATAAACAAGAAAAGATTTACCTTTTTTCACCGAAAGATATTTTTCCTATTGGAAAGAAAAAAAAATACTTAAATTTAACAAAGCGATAACGCTCATTCTTGCAACAGCAGGTGCAACTGAAATTTTCCCGAAATTAAAATAAAAGGCAGTTTAATTTTACGTTCTCTATGACCAAGGAGTTTTCCCAATCAATTGCTGTGAAAAATTGATTTACGTGATTTCATCAACTGCTCTGACGATCTGCCGAATTCAAGGCTCTTGTTCTTGTTCTCTACCTCTTGAGTTGATATTTTATGAAGCTTCGCAATTTTACAATTTAAATTGATTTCCCTAGCAGCGACAACCTACGCGCCCAGACCGTCTTCTGTTTCCTTTGAAAAAGCGGGAAAAGCGCTGAAGGACATAGAATTCTACACGGAGTCTGTACATAGTTGAGACAAATTGAAGAGCCTGTAAAGGCTCTGTAAAGTGAACAGCTGCCATTAACAAAGTAATTACTTTGCAACAGAAAAGGTTATATTTAACAATCATTCACCGAAGGCAGAGTGAATATTGGTGAATATTTACTTGCATGTTTACCGCTCGCGCCCCCTGGACCAAACATCAGAGCTTGCTGGCGAGCTAAGGTGGCCAGCTTTACGGTAACCAATCTTAGAAATGTTACATTCATTGCCTAGCGCGGTGAATGTAGCGTCATAAGCCGAGCTTGTTTGACGAATCAGTATGTCCAATTCTTATATTCACCTCTGGAAGATTAATGTACTAATATTAAACAGAACAGAGTTTGTTATAAAAGTGTGTCCGCATTGTGACATTACATATTTTTTAAAGACACCAGAAATGTTTGAATGCAAGTCTCGGTTGCGTCCGTTCAGCAGCGAACGTCTCCACAAAGCATTTGGTATGAACTGATAAATATTGCTCTAAAGTGACCTGAGTTTTACTGCCTCACGCGGTGGCGGCGAAGTGAGTAAATAAGATTTATTACAATTAACAGCTTCCATTTGACCTTAAACTGAATATGTTCGGATGTTTGTCCTTGCACATTATCTGTTCCTCGAAGTCAACTGTTCACTTCTCGGAACAGATAGCAAATATTTGAGCAAATATGAGCAAATATTCAAGCATATTGACCCTCGGCTGTTTTTGTATGGACCTGTGACCAATGTTCCCCAGTGCGGCCCTCGCGATTGGTTGATGAGAGGTCAATATTTTTTCGCCAAGTCAAAAATGTATACATTTTAAGAGTGAAATTCACAACTGTCTAGGTCTGTTCGGTATGCCAATGGCTCTTAAAACGTACTCAGGTAAAAACATGCAATGGCAGCGTTCAATTCCAAATCAAAATACGAAAAATTAGCCATCGTCGATAGCGTTCCTCAGACTACGTAGAACTTGGTCAATTCACGTCCTTGTTTTGCAAAGGAGGACAAAGAAGTGAACAAAGATTAACAATGCACGTGCACAGCCCGGATTATTTTGCAAGAAATATCATTGTCATGTGCAATATGCCATTCCGGAGAGTACTAAAATGCAAAGAATGGCAAAATCTAGATACGTAGAGTTTGAGAAATATGAAGCAGTTAAATCATAGTTAAATAAATTGACAAGTCTTGCAAATGTAAGAGATGGAAGCTTAGAACAAAACTAGAAAACGACTGAGGCAATTTCGTTGAGAAACTGAAATCAGATTAATTTCGGCATAATGATTGAGCTCAGCACCTCAGTAAAGTTTCTTACCTTAAATTTGAGGCCTGTTCTTTTTAAGGCAACACAAATTAAGCTTGTAGCCTCGATGATATGACAGCCGGGCAAACAAGTAAGTTTTTTTTCAAAACTCTTGCTTCAGTGAAATATTTTCAGCAATAATGCTAGTAAACTTTCTCGTTTGTCGCAGAATATAGACATCTTTCTCCAGAATATAGACTTCTTAGCTTAGAGGAGATTTCGCGAGGAGTATTTCGGAAGAAAACCGCGCTTCAAGTTTTGCCGCCTTTTAATTTTACACCATTACCTCGTTTATACTGAACTGAAATGTCTACAACCGTGCGGCCTCGTGTATGAGGGAAGACTGGCACTTGTTAAACCCAATATGGCAGCTATTTTTCTTTCATATGCATAAACTCTGTAAAGACGCGATCTCTAGCTATATTCTGCTTTAGGAACTAATGTTATGGCGGATTTAAACAGCCAAGATATAACCGAAGGAGAGGCGGGAACAACATCAACGTGGATTTTATTACAGATTGCTGATTCAGGTAAAACATGACGAACGTATTTTTGTCGGGTGTGTAAACCCAGGGCAGTAGGGAGCGAATAACGGTAATAAAGTCATAATCTATTAAACTGTCCCTCCCCACCCCTACAAACCCAGACTAAAAAGTAATCGGACTTAAACATTTATTTCATTCTCCTGTCATATAGACCCTAATTTCATAAATGGCTGCCAATTCAAAATTCTTTTGTATGCATTTAAATTAGCTTCACTAACCGCGTTCGAGAGTAAAGTTCTTTTGAATTATCGACCTAAACGAGGTTAGTGAGGTTAATTTTGACTCTTACCAAAGAATTCATAAATTTATATTCGGCAGCCATTTATGAAAAGGGTCTATATACAGTTACTAAGGGACCAGTTATTTATTAGAGATGGGGGAAGAGGGCTGGTGTATTCTTGTGATTTTCCTCAACATAATTTCCAGTGACACTGTTCTTGCCACCACATAAAGTAATGTGGCCCCCTAGGGGTGTGCACATGAAATGACATGGCCCACCCTCAATCAAAGTGCTTAACAGTTGAAATTATACAACTCAAAATTACATAACTCACTGAGCTAGTCACGGCAAAATAGTGCCCTCCTCCAAGATCTTGTAGTCGTCACTGTGGTCTGAATATAATCCTCTGCCTCATCATCATCTTCTGGACTTGAGCCAATCTTTTCAAGAGGCAGTTGAATAGATTTGCAGATCGACGAATTTGGACTTAAAAAGCGCACGGATTGTGGACTTCTGTGATAAATTGAGTGGATTTGCGGATTTTGAAAACACAGCAGAAGATGATGTGAATTAAATGTGAATTTTGGTGCAGATTCTGGATTCTGCCCGTCTTGAAGTCAGGATTTTAGGTCCTGAAGAAGATTTGGATCATAGCCCCCCTTAATCAATAATAAAAATATGTAAAACTACATATACAATTCTAATTAAGCATTAAATAAATCTATTTAAGTTTTAATTTGATTTGTGGATTGGGTATCTTAAAGTCTAAACCGGACACACTACATCACTTGGACACTAGACACCTCTACAGGTATACAATAACCTTAAGTTTCCACTCCCTCTCTGCCCTCTTCCCTTAGTTGTTTTTAACGTTTTTAACATATGATTTTCAGCCTTTCCTACTGGAGGATATTCTCACAGTTATGGTTTTGAATCAGCTACAAAACATGGCTTTATGACAGACTTTAGTGAGTATGAAATCCAAATGATAAATAAGTACTTCAGTGGCATAATTTTAATCTGTCATTATGTCATTTTTTATACAATTTGTTCTTTCTCTATAGATGCATTTAAAGTCTTTGTCTTGTCGTGCCTTCAAAATGGAGGTATGCTAACTGATACTTTTGTCCTCACATTTGAGTGGTTTTATCCATTGCGTGAACTATTATGAGAAATTCTCATTACTCTCACTTAACAATACATTCCTTTTTGTGCATCAGCATTTTGAACTTTTAATGGGCAAACAACTTACAGGGGCATAGTGGCAATTTAATAATGAAGCAAATTATCTTAAAGTGCACCTAACACCAAAAAATTTTTTTTCACTAAAATAATAAAGCTTATTTTGTGGAGTAATTTGCCACAAAAATTTTTCGATTTGGTTAAATCCGTGAATTTCTGTGCCCCTTCGAAACCGAGTTTTGAATGGTTCGCGACTGCACATGGGGAATCTGGGGAGAGTTAAAGCTGTGACGTCAAATCCAAAATGAATGCTTTGGCTGTCCCAGTCAGGTCTTTTACTTTGTTGCAGTGTAGAAGCCTTTTTGCAGCACAAGTTCTTTCGCAAAGATTTAACCAAATCTAAAAATTTTTGCGGCAAATTACTCCACAAAATAAGCTTTATTATTTTAGTGAAAAAAAATTTTGGAGTTAGGTGCACTTTAATTATATGCTTCAGGATGTTGTCACTTGGGATATACAGTGATGATAATTGCCATGTCTCAACTGCTTACTGCTAGACAGTAGTAAGTAAGTATTCATCATGTTATGGGGTCAAATGGTTACATATATGTTTTCTCTGTATTAGGGGTGGTTTTCCCTAATTTGGTCAGTTTTGTTTCTGCCGAGCTTATCTGGAAGTCATATGACCGTCACTGTGTGCTCTTAATTGTCTCATATTCTTGAGCAAGACATCAACTGTCACAGGGCCTCTCTCCTCCTAGTACAGTAACTAAGTATAAATGGGTACCAATGAACTGTTAAGGAATCTCTAGCAATCTCCAGTAGCAATAGTACCCTGCAATGAGATAGGGATGAGCAAGGCCCAATCAGCGATTACTGGATGCACAGGGACTCTCTCCATCCATTATCATCATGGTCATTAATTCTTGTCATCTCCAGTGGAGCATAGGAGGTCCATCACTACCCTCTGTGGTTGTTTGCTAATGCTTTGGCTCTCTCCCAGGAGTAGTGTACTCTTTTGAACTCCTGCAGCACAGATCACCTCCAGTTGTCCTTGCCCCTCCAATTTTTCTCTTTTCCTGCCTGTGGTTGATAGTTCAAAGCTTGTCTTACCACATTGTTGCGATCTCTTCTGAGCATATGGTCAATGCAATGCCATAGGCCAATCCGTCCATAGGCAGCCATAAAATGTTTATTAGAGGGACCTTCCTCTGGCAAAACAGCATTCCATCCAAGGACCAACCCATAATAAAACCTTCTCTGAAGGTAAATTAAGCCAATGATGAATCTTTTCAGCTTCATTTAGTCTTCCATTTGTCAATGAATCACATAAGGAGTGTCACAATGCTGAGAGAATCATAGAGCTGGATCAGATCATTCAGGCCTACCTAAGTAATCATGTGGCAAACAGAGCAAGCTTCAGGCAGGTTAGTGTCCAAATTTTTGGTGGTGTCCCTTACATTTCCAGCCATTCCCCTACAGGGAATTTGATTTAAAATCAAGGTCACCCAGGCTTCTGTGATGATGAGATCCTTCATTCTTATTACTTCTCCCCTTTTGTTTGGTATATCAAAGTAACAATTAGTTACATATTAAGTAATTGCTACTGGGAAATAAGGGTTTAAGGGCTAATACAGTGCTCACCCAGGAGTGTATAGAAAAGGAGAGTCAGGTGAGATGGTCAAAATAAATCTGCCATTTTTATCAATTTCAAAAAATATAACAATTGTGAATTATACTATTTCTACAACCTCTTGTATTCCTTCTCATGCATTTCATGTTAGGTTTGAGAAGTTGGTAGTAAATCGCAACATTATCCCCTAAATTATTGGTAATTTTCTTCAAACTCTTTTACCTCTACAATAAGGAGGGGTCTGAATGGTTAAAGTGGGACCTGGGATTCACTGCCTAGATCACTTCTTTGATTCAGAAAAACAAAGTGGAATAGTACAAGAACCTAGTTGATCCATAACACCAAAAATCCCTCAAACAACAGAAACAAACTGAACTGAGAAAATCTTGTGACTGCAGGTGCACAGCAGCCAACCAAAAATCTGAGACTGCAGGTCCAAAAAGACAACAAAGTCTGCCACATTGAGCTGGAACCATGGTTCCGGAAGGAGAGCAGTAAACTGCTCTAAACATCGTGTTTTACAAGCATTTTAACCTCAGAAAAGTCCTGATGTGTAGAGCAAGATTCACTTTTAATTATTTAGTTTGTTTTATTTTTTCGCTGGGAAAATAGGATTTGGAGTGAGTCACTGGGACTAGAAATCACAAACAAGACTGGGATTTGGGAAAAATAGGGGGGAAATGAGATTTAGGCAAAATTAGGGCTGGGAAATGAGATTTATCCTCCCCCCCCCCCCCCCCCCCCCNCTCACGCGGTGGCGGCGAAGTGAGTAAATAAGATTTATTACAATTAACAGCTTCCATTTGACCTTAAACTGAATATGTTCGGATATTTGTCCTTGCACATTATCTGTTCCTCGAAGTCAACTGTTCACTTCTCGGAACAGATAGCAAATATTTGAGCAAATATGAGCAAATATTCAAGCATATTGACCCTCGGCTGTTTTTGTATGGACCTGTGACCAATGTTCCCCAGTGCGGCCCTCGCGATTGGTTGATGAGAGGTCAATATTTTTTCGCCAAGTCAAAAATGTATACATTTTAAGAGTGAAATTCACAACTGTCTAGGTCTGTTCGGTATGCCAATGGCTCTTAAAACGTACTCAGGTAAAAACATGCAATGGCAGCGTTCAATTCCAAATCAAAATACGAAAAATTAGCCATCGTCGATAGCGTTCCTCAGACTACGTAGAACTTGGTCAATTCACGTCCTTGTTTTGCAAAGGAGGACAAAGAAGTGAACAAAGATTAACAATGCACGTGCACAGCCCGGATTATTTTGCAAGAAATATCATTGTCATGTGCAATATGCCATTCCGGAGAGTACTAAAATGCAAAGAATGGCAAAATCTAGATACGTAGAGTTTGAGAAATATGAAGCAGTTAAATCATAGTTAAATAAATTGACAAGTCTTGCAAATGTAAGAGATGGAAGCTTAGAACAAAACTAGAAAACGACTGAGGCAATTTCGTTGAGAAACTGAAATCAGATTAATTTCGGCATAATGATTGAGCTCAGCACCTCAGTAAAGTTTCTTACCTTAAATTTGAGGCCTGTTCTTTTTAAGGCAACACAAATTAAGCTTGTAGCCTCGATGATATGACAGCCGGGCAAACAAGTAAGTTTTTTTTCAAAACTCTTGCTTCAGTGAAATATTTTCAGCAATAATGCTAGTAAACTTTCTCGTTTGTCGCAGAATATAGACATCTTTCTCCAGAATATAGACTTCTTAGCTTAGAGGAGATTTCGCGAGGAGTATTTCGGAAGAAAACCGCGCTTCAAGTTTTGCCGCCTTTTAATTTTACACCATTACCTCGTTTATACTGAACTGAAATGTCTACAACCGTGCGGCCTCGTGTATGAGGGAAGACTGGCACTTGTTAAACCCAATATGGCAGCTATTTTTCTTTCATATGCATAAACTCTGTAAAGACGCGATCTCTAGCTATATTCTGCTTTAGGAACTAATGTTATGGCGGATTTAAACAGCCAAGATATAACCGAAGGAGAGGCGGGAACAACATCAACGTGGATTTTATTACAGATTGCTGATTCAGGTAAAACATGACGAACGTATTTTTGTCGGGTGTGTAAACCCAGGGCAGTAGGGAGCGAATAACGGTAATAAAGTCATAATCTATTAAACTGTCCCTCCCCACCCCTACAAACCCAGACTAAAAAGTAATCGGACTTAAACATTTATTTCATTCTCCTGTCATATAGACCCTAATTTCATAAATGGCTGCCAATTCAAAATTCTTTTGTATGCATTTAAATTAGCTTCACTAACCGCGTTCGAGAGTAAAGTTCTTTTGAATTATCGACCTAAACGAGGTTAGTGAGGTTAATTTTGACTCTTACCAAAGAATTCATAAATTTATATTCGGCAGCCATTTATGAAAAGGGTCTATATACAGTTACTAAGGGACCAGTTATTTATTAGAGATGGGGGAAGAGGGCTGGTGTATTCTTGTGATTTTCCTCAACATAATTTCCAGTGACACTGTTCTTGCCACCACATAAAGTAATGTGGCCCCCTAGGGGTGTGCACATGAAATGACATGGCCCACCCTCAATCAAAGTGCTTAACAGTTGAAATTATACAACTCAAAATTACATAACTCACTGAGCTAGTCACGGCAAAATAGTGCCCTCCTCCAAGATCTTGTAGTCGTCACTGTGGTCTGAATATAATCCTCTGCCTCATCATCATCTTCTGGACTTGAGCCAATCTTTTCAAGAGGCAGTTGAATAGATTTGCAGATCGACGAATTTGGACTTAAAAAGCGCACGGATTGTGGACTTCTGTGATAAATTGAGTGGATTTGCGGATTTTGAAAACACAGCAGAAGATGATGTGAATTAAATGTGAATTTTGGTGCAGATTCTGGATTCTGCCCGTCTTGAAGTCAGGATTTTAGGTCCTGAAGAAGATTTGGATCATAGCCCCCCTTAATCAATAATAAAAATATGTAAAACTACATATACAATTCTAATTAAGCATTAAATAAATCTATTTAAGTTTTAATTTGATTTGTGGATTGGGTATCTTAAAGTCTAAACCGGACACACTACATCACTTGGACACTAGACACCTCTACAGGTATACAATAACCTTAAGTTTCCACTCCCTCTCTGCCCTCTTCCCTTAGTTGTTTTTAACGTTTTTAACATATGATTTTCAGCCTTTCCTACTGGAGGATATTCTCACAGTTATGGTTTTGAATCAGCTACAAAACATGGCTTTATGACAGACTTTAGTGAGTATGAAATCCAAATGATAAATAAGTACTTCAGTGGCATAATTTTAATCTGTCATTATGTCATTTTTTATACAATTTGTTCTTTCTCTATAGATGCATTTAAAGTCTTTGTCTTGTCGTGCCTTCAAAATGGAGGTATGCTAACTGATACTTTTGTCCTCACATTTGAGTGGTTTTATCCATTGCGTGAACTATTATGAGAAATTCTCATTACTCTCACTTAACAATACATTCCTTTTTGTGCATCAGCATTTTGAACTTTTAATGGGCAAACAACTTACAGGGGCATAGTGGCAATTTAATAATGAAGCAAATTATCTTAAAGTGCACCTAACACCAAAAAATTTTTTTTCACTAAAATAATAAAGCTTATTTTGTGGAGTAATTTGCCACAAAAATTTTTCGATTTGGTTAAATCCGTGAATTTCTGTGCCCCTTCGAAACCGAGTTTTGAATGGTTCGCGACTGCACATGGGGAATCTGGGGAGAGTTAAAGCTGTGACGTCAAATCCAAAATGAATGCTTTGGCTGTCCCAGTCAGGTCTTTTACTTTGTTGCAGTGTAGAAGCCTTTTTGCAGCACAAGTTCTTTCGCAAAGATTTAACCAAATCTAAAAATTTTTGCGGCAAATTACTCCACAAAATAAGCTTTATTATTTTAGTGAAAAAAAATTTTGGAGTTAGGTGCACTTTAATTATATGCTTCAGGATGTTGTCACTTGGGATATACAGTGATGATAATTGCCATGTCTCAACTGCTTACTGCTAGACAGTAGTAAGTAAGTATTCATCATGTTATGGGGTCAAATGGTTACATATATGTTTTCTCTGTATTAGGGGTGGTTTTCCCTAATTTGGTCAGTTTTGTTTCTGCCGAGCTTATCTGGAAGTCATATGACCGTCACTGTGTGCTCTTAATTGTCTCATATTCTTGAGCAAGACATCAACTGTCACAGGGCCTCTCTCCTCCTAGTACAGTAACTAAGTATAAATGGGTACCAATGAACTGTTAAGGAATCTCTAGCAATCTCCAGTAGCAATAGTACCCTGCAATGAGATAGGGATGAGCAAGGCCCAATCAGCGATTACTGGATGCACAGGGACTCTCTCCATCCATTATCATCATGGTCATTAATTCTTGTCATCTCCAGTGGAGCATAGGAGGTCCATCACTACCCTCTGTGGTTGTTTGCTAATGCTTTGGCTCTCTCCCAGGAGTAGTGTACTCTTTTGAACTCCTGCAGCACAGATCACCTCCAGTTGTCCTTGCCCCTCCAATTTTTCTCTTTTCCTGCCTGTGGTTGATAGTTCAAAGCTTGTCTTACCACATTGTTGCGATCTCTTCTGAGCATATGGTCAATGCAATGCCATAGGCCAATCCGTCCATAGGCAGCCATAAAATGTTTATTAGAGGGACCTTCCTCTGGCAAAACAGCATTCCATCCAAGGACCAACCCATAATAAAACCTTCTCTGAAGGTAAATTAAGCCAATGATGAATCTTTTCAGCTTCATTTAGTCTTCCATTTGTCAATGAATCACATAAGGAGTGTCACAATGCTGAGAGAATCATAGAGCTGGATCAGATCATTCAGGCCTACCTAAGTAATCATGTGGCAAACAGAGCAAGCTTCAGGCAGGTTAGTGTCCAAATTTTTGGTGGTGTCCCTTACATTTCCAGCCATTCCCCTACAGGGAATTTGATTTAAAATCAAGGTCACCCAGGCTTCTGTGATGATGAGATCCTTCATTCTTATTACTTCTCCCCTTTTGTTTGGTATATCAAAGTAACAATTAGTTACATATTAAGTAATTGCTACTGGGAAATAAGGGTTTAAGGGCTAATACAGTGCTCACCCAGGAGTGTATAGAAAAGGAGAGTCAGGTGAGATGGTCAAAATAAATCTGCCATTTTTATCAATTTCAAAAAATATAACAATTGTGAATTATACTATTTCTACAACCTCTTGTATTCCTTCTCATGCATTTCATGTTAGGTTTGAGAAGTTGGTAGTAAATCGCAACATTATCCCCTAAATTATTGGTAATTTTCTTCAAACTCTTTTACCTCTACAATAAGGAGGGGTCTGAATGGTTAAAGTGGGACCTGGGATTCACTGCCTAGATCACTTCTTTGATTCAGAAAAACAAAGTGGAATAGTACAAGAACCTAGTTGATCCATAACACCAAAAATCCCTCAAACAACAGAAACAAACTGAACTGAGAAAATCTTGTGACTGCAGGTGCACAGCAGCCAACCAAAAATCTGAGACTGCAGGTCCAAAAAGACAACAAAGTCTGCCACATTGAGCTGGAACCATGGTTCCGGAAGGAGAGCAGTAAACTGCTCTAAACATCGTGTTTTACAAGCATTTTAACCTCAGAAAAGTCCTGATGTGTAGAGCAAGATTCACTTTTAATTATTTAGTTTGTTTTATTTTTTCGCTGGGAAAATAGGATTTGGAGTGAGTCACTGGGACTAGAAATCACAAACAAGACTGGGATTTGGGAAAAATAGGGGGGAAATGAGATTTAGGCAAAATTAGGGCTGGGAAATGAGATTTATCCTCCCCCCCCACCCCCCTTCCCTTCTTGAAACCTCAGAAAGGAGAACTAACAGGATCTTATCCAAGGGTGTAAAAAAATAATCAGTTCAGGTGGGTATAAATTGTGTAATTAAATTTACATAATTTAACTGAAGTATTTCCTTTATGTCCTTAGGGGAGCTCCTTACTTGATACAGCTTGCAAAACATTTGGAAATCAAGAAATGAAGAATTTACAGGTACATTTACTGTTGCTCAATACAATCGCTATCCCGATCAAAGATGAATTCACGTTCATTTAAATTCTAAAACACTCGGTGAAGTCTAATATTAGCCTCACTTATTTACTTAACCCCACCATCCCCTTCCCCATCCCTGAAATTGTTAATTGATCACTCCACCTCGTTTCCATGTTCCTCTTGACCGTCACAAGTTGGCTTTCACGTCCGTCCTCGATAAGTACAACGGTAAATGGTCCTTTTTGTTTCTTTGTACCAGGGACGCATGTAATATGTCAGACCAATTAAGGGTCTCCTGTTTTATGTATCTTGTGTGAAAACGTGAAAAACGTATCAGACTCAGTAATTAAGTCCTCAGCTCGTCTTGACGAGTTATCTACACTCCCGGGGGGGG